CATATATTTCTGAAAGCCTAAGAGGAATTTGTATTTAAAGTACTTTAGTCAATATTCCAGCTATTTCCTTGCATGCTGAAATGTATTTTACACTTTCAAGTAGAAGCTTGTAAGTTAATCAGCAGAGTAGTGGGAGATCATTATAATCAGACTCAAAAATACCCCAATTATGCTGCCCTCTCTCCTCTCCCCAAAATGGCTATTGAGAGCAAGAGAAATGACAAGAGAACCCCCTTATATTAGGAACACATAGGACAACAGTATTAGTCAGGGTTCTGCAGAGAAACAGAAGCAACAGGAGACACATAGATACAGATATAGATGCCATTGGCTCTGTTTCTATGGAGAACCCTGACTGACGCATTTATTTATATCTCTGTCAGGCAAGAAGAGTTGATGTTGCACATGAAGTTCAAAGGCAATCTGCTAGAGAATTTTCTCTTATTTGGGGGAGGCCAGTCTTTTGTTCTATTCAGGCCTTCAGCTGACCAGATGAGGCCTACCCACATGAGAGAGAACAATCTGCTTTATTCTAATTCTCCAAGTTAAATGTTAATCTTATCCAAAAACACCCTCACAGAAACCCAGGATAATGTTTTGATTAAATATCTGGATATCTCAATGTCCTGTCAAAGTGACTCATAAACTGAACCATCAGAACAACCTGCTTGTAGAGAATGTCCTTGGGTAAAAACACAGTTTGCTGAGTCTTTTCTGCAGACGTCAGCATAGAGGCTGAGACAGCCAGCTCAGCTTCGGCAATGTGAAGACTTCATCAAACAAGGGTGATTTTATATCTAATGAATCTAGGAATCGGAGTCTAGGAAGGGCAGGCATGCTTGAGCCATTTACTGAAAGTATTCAAACTATTTGACATATTGGAATTTTTCTTCCATTGCACGGATATAAGACTATAGTACCTGTCCTTTTTCTCTGGGTTTTGAGGGAATCGATTTGAAATCATCACCATTCTGAAAGGGTGTTTCAGAGGAATGTTTTGCAACCTATTGTGAGAGGTAAGTTGGCAATGATTGCATTTAGTTCAGCAACTGTACCAACCAGTTGCCTTTACACAGAGTAGGCCTTCAAGCAACTGTGGAGTGGATGTCTGGTGGGGAGAGGAGCCGAGGCAAAAGCACAAGATGAGGGGCACGGCTTGACATAGAGCGTGCGGTTCGAGTGCCCTACAGAGCCACGTCTCTAAGATCCACAGAGCACAGAAGGTATTACAAGTTCTATTAGTGTATTAAACATTTTTATTCTGGAAAAAAATTAGGCTTACAGAAAAGTTGCAAAAACAGTACAGAGAATTCTCATATGCCCTCACCCAACTGATGTTAATATCTTATATAATCATATTGCAATGACCTACACCAAATTTACACCGACAGAATACCAGCAACTAATCCACAGATCTGATTTCAATTTTGCCAGTTTTCCTACTAATATCTTCTTTCTGGTCCCGGATCCAGTTCAGGATCCCACATTGATTTAATCATCACGTTGCCTCAGTCTCTCTCATCCAGTCTGAAATAGTTCCCCTGTTGCTTTTCATCTTTGAAGACTAATGGTCACTCACTTCGCAGAATGCCTCTCGGTTTTGGTTTGTCTGATGCGTTCTCACGATGCGACTGAAGTCATGAATGTTTTGGAAAGAACTTCACAGAAGCACCCTTCTCACTGCATCATCACATCCTATGGTACCTGATGTCAATGCGTTTTAGTGCTGGTAATGCTACCTTCGATCATGGGGTAAGACAGCGTCTGCCGAGTCCACTGTAAAGTTTCTATTTTTTCTTCCACAATTAAAACATTTATCATGGGGAGAGATTTGAAACTATACATATCGCCTCTTCTCACCTTACCGTTGCCCTGCCCAAGAAATTTAGCATCCAGCACTGGCCCCTTCCTGCAGCAAGAATTGTTGTGATATTTGCCTAATGGTGATTTTCTGATTTTATCAAAAAATAAGAGAAATTTTAGAGTAAATTTGGAGGAAGCACCTAACATGGTGTAATACTTTTAGTGTTATTAGTTTTTTAACTTTGTGTTTTCTACTTAAACATGATGTCTGTGTTCAGAGAGAGAGAGAGAGAGATGGAGAGGGAGGCAGAAGTTTAGCTCTACTAATATTTAATTGGATTTATACTGTCACCTTCATTGGATCTATAAATCAAGATAATTCTATAGCATTTAAAAATAATAAAACTGCTGATCTGCCCAACTCCAAATTTGACGTTACCAAGAAAGGTATTTAAAATATAAATTTATATACCCATTATCAATAACCATAAATGTCCTCCTAAGTACATATTGCATGATATGTGCTTTTCCACGGTAATTTTTCAATCCTGACAACTATGATAATCAAGTATAGAAATAAATTAAACTTAGAATTTGGTTTTCAAATACTATATTTCTTTGTTAAACTATGATTCACAAAAATAATAAAGATGATCAAATCCATTTTTATCACTAAGCATTTATCTATAATAATTTTAGCAAGATTTCTTCAAAGTTATATCCTTAAGAAATAAATAAAATGTTATGTTACATTTTTATCTAATCCTTTAAAATTCCAGTTTTGGAAATAGTTAATGTTCAAGTATAAATTAAAAATAAACAAAACACACTTTTAAGGCACTTATTCAATTTGCTTTCCTCATAAGGATATATAGACAGAAGATTTTGGGGGACTTCTTTTGAATACGTAAAATTTCAAAAATGTTTCCAAAGTTTGCAGCTTTTCATTTTTTTCCTGAAAAACATCTTATGTACTGTTACTCTCATTTACGAAAACAAAGAACATTTCAGTACTAAAAGGATAAGGAAGACGTATTGTTAGAATACAGTAACATCCTTTTAAATGGAACACCTTCGTTTTATTTAAACTCTATATTATTGACTTTTTAATTTTACCCTTCCCTGGGGAACTTACTACAATATCCCAATATTATAGGCTGAGTTATGTTCCCTGCCCCGGCCCACCAAAAAAAAAAAAAAAAAAAAAAAAAAAATTAAAAGTCCTAACCCCCAATCCCCGAGAAGGTGACCTTAGGAACGGTATCACTGCCTACGTAACCGCTACACGGAGATGAGGTGACGCTGGAGCTCGCGGGGAGCCCCTGGGCCGCCCCGAGTGCAGCTTTAGGGAAGACAGCCAGCGGCAGACGGAGCCAAGGGACGTGCCCGGTGACCCAGAGGCTGGGGAGGCGCGTTTACAGGCCAAGGGGCACGTGGGGTACCGGAGGGAGGAGGAAGGCAGGGCACGGAGTCTCCCGCGGCGCTGCGAAGGCACCAGCCCTCGCTACGCCTAGACTTGGGACTCCGAGCCTCCAGAACTGTGAGGAAATGGATTGAGCCCCCTCATCCTGTGGTGCTTGTCATGGCGGCCTGTTCTGTCCTCTCTTATGAGACGGTCAGTCCGGTGCGGCCCCAGAGGAGACAGGGAGGCCTGGGGCGCAAAGTGCGTTACCCTCCCAGGTCCCGGAGCCGCCCACAGGGCCGCCCTCCGCGGGCCTCGCGGGGAGACCCCGGGGGTCAGGCGGCGGAGGGCAGGAGGGGGCGCCTGAGGCCCCGCCCCCGCCGGGGTTGCGGAGGCACCGCCGGGGCGGGGCGGGGCGGGGCGGGAGAGCAGGCTGGCCTGGCCGGGCCGAGGAGCCGGGCGGGCAGGCTCCAAGGTGCGGGCGGCCTGGATGGCACAGACGGAGGGCGGCTGCTGGCTGCGGGCGGGCCCGGTGCGGGCTGCGGGCGGCGGGGTGCGGGCTGCGGGGTGCGGGCTGCGCTCCGCGTCGTCCGCCTGCGAGCCGGCCAGCTCCTGCCGGGCCCTCGGTCGCCTCTGAGGATGAGCTAGCCTCTCCCCAGCCAGGAAGGGTTTTAAAAATGTCAAAACACCATACTGTTTTAAAAATACATACATAGTGTATATGAATAATTAATATACATATATAATTAAACACACACGCCATGCACATGCCTAGGAGACAGCACATCCAGTAATTAGCGATGTTTTGGGAAATCTCGGTTAGCACTATATTGTGAAAAATCCCATCTTGAGTTTATATTTCTTTGACCCTTGGAAGGTTTCTGAGCAGAGCTGTGGCAGGCCAGAGCTGAGCTTTAGTGAAATAATTCTAGCAGTCGAGTTCGGAATAAACAATAAGACGAGGCGCCTCAAGGCAGAGAACCATCACAAGACGACTGCGAAGACTTTCCTAAGAGGCATCAAGAACCCAGCCGTGGAGGGGAGTCTCTGAGCAGGAGCAGACGGTCCCGAGATTTAGAGAGATTGGGGAGGTTTTGTTTTAAAATAAAAATTTTTAAATACCCTTCACTGTTAGAATGTTTATGAACTAGGAAAAGAATCTGTAATATTACTCAAAAGCCTTGACATCGGTTCTGCCTTTGGAGCTTGGAACCCCACGGGCCGGTGGCAGCCGCTCCGCGGTGGTCGGGACGACGAGCTTCCCGGGTGCTTTGACCGCCGGCGGCCAGAGGCACCGCGGCCTGGGAGCCCCAGCGGCAGCCTTCCGAACCGCGCCCGCCGGCTGTCCAGCTGAGGCCGCGTTTGCCTTGGGCTGCCGCAGCCGGTGGCTGAACGCAGCAGAGATGTGCGGGCAGGACGCTCCTGCAAGGAGTTGCTGGGCTCCTCTGATGGCCAGCTTTGGCTTGAGAGCTCCCATTCGGACTTCAGGGCTCTTTTTAGAAATGCATTTCAGTCTGAGACTCTTCCGCCCCAACCCTTCTCCCTTCCTCTCTCACCAAACAGGGCTGGAGCTGCTTGGTGGTGGCATAGCTCTTCCAGCTGCCCCCAGTTCCCTCCCCAATTCCACCCCTGCAAAGGCACTTCCCCAGTAAATCTCTTGCATTTCTAACATCATGTTTCTGCATCTCAGGGGACCTGGCCCAGGGGGCCTCTACAGGTGCTCTTAAGAAGTAGTACGGGAGCTCTTCCTCTTCTGGCCCTAGGCACTTCAGGAGCTGTGGGCGTTGGAGCAGATATGACCAAGTCCAAGAGCCACACCACACACAGCCAGGCCCCAAAATGGCACATAAATGGCATCAAGAAACCCCAGTCACAAAGATACGGATCTCTAGAAGGGGTAGACCCCAAGTTCCTGAGGAACATGTGCTTTTCCCAGAAGCACAACAAGAAAGGCCTGAAGAAGGTGCAGGCCAACAATGCCGAGGCCGTGAATGCGCCAGCCGAGGCTCTTAGCCCTCCTAAGCCCAAGGAGCTGAAGCCCAAGATCCTAATGCTCAGTCGTCTTGCCCACTTGGCTCACCTCAAGCTTGGGAAGTGTGCTTATGCTGCGTGGCCAAGGGTCTCAGGCTCTGCAGCCAAAGTTCAAGGCCAAGGGTTGGACCAAGCCCCAGGATGAGGCTGAGGCTCTGGCTCTGGCTTCCAAAGTTGCCCAGAGCCCCATGGAGGCTCCGCAGCAGAGCCTCTGTCTGCCCATGTGAGGATGGAAGGACTGGGATGACCTCTGGGCTGCGGTCTGCATGGAGCTGAGGTCCTCCTGTGCTATTTGTACAAAGAAACCTGAGGCAGGGTCTAAAAAATGAAGGAAGAAAGCAAAAGAAGAAGCATTGCTGAATATTTGCAATGAATATTTATAATAATATTCAGTAAGTAATTTCCTAAAAAGCCTAAAAACAATAAGAAAATGGTTAAAGCCATCATGGTGTCTTCATAAACTAGGATATCATGCAGTTATTTAAATTATGTTTTTAACACTGATGATATAAGAAAATGGTCATACACATAACATTAAGTGAAAGGATGTAAAATTTTATATATACTCTTACCACAATCATATTTAAAAATCATCTATGTATGCATAAACAATTTTTAGGAAGAAATATGCCAAAATGTTAGTTATTATTTTCCTGGGTAAGAGAATGACCAGTTCTTAATTTCTTCTTTATTGTCTTTTAATTTTTAAAACTTTCTCTAATCATCATTATTACAATTATAATTGGAAAACTACTTTACAACTTACATATTAGATTGCCCCTTCAGTTTTATTGAAATAGGACATATAAAATATATGTCTGTGGGTTTTTTCCTATTTCATTTTCTACCTTTTCAAGTGATGTCTTACAAGATTCTTTCTGCCACTCTTGGCTACTACTTGTTGTAACTCTCAGGAAAGGAAGTGGGCATTTTCGTGGAAGAGAATGGTTAGTGAGAGCGCGGTACGATAATCCCTGCGTGAAATGACCCGCGGAGTCATCTCGCTGTTCCGGGAAGACTCCCCAGCTCCCTGGGATTGGAGGAACGACTGCGCTCCCAGTACCTCCCGCTGTTACCCTGGCCGCTCGCTAGGCAGTTCTCGCTGTGTGTCCCTCGCAGGCTCCCAGGCTGTCTGGTGAGCCAATGAGGGCGTTCATTCTGCGTTACTCTCAGTCCTCACTGCGCGGCTCTCACCACCGCCGGTGTTTGAGAATGGCCTGGATCGTTGAATTGAATCCTCTATCGCCAATAAGACATCCTGTTTTGATTGCTGATTTGACTCTGTTGTCCATTAGGGTATCCACATCTACCTTGCCTTTGGCAATTGAGGGGTCTCTGTTTGACCACTGACACTCTGGGGTCCGATTATTCCTTCAACCGATTGGCTGAAGCCCATCCCCATTGGTGCAAAGTGCTTTACTCAGTTTACCAACTCAAGTGTTCGTCTCATCCAGAGACACCCCCACAGACTCACCCAGAACAATGTTTCACCACCTACCTGGGCCCCATCAAGGTGGCGCATAAGGTGAACCGTTGCAGTCCCCAACCCCTGCCTAGTACCTGATGCATCAGGATGCCAGCAAAGCTGAACTGAGCATACAGGTCACTGTGTATATAAAATACTGCTTCATTTTGAAATTAGGTTGTAACTGATAACAATCTCACCATATGCTGTGTATTTTAAAATTTTTGCTACATATCAGTAAGTGCATCCGGACCTAGTTTGTCATGATGTGCTAAGTGACCACATGGTCAAGATACCATGTGGTGCTAGTTTCTATGCAGAGGGCTCAGGGCCTGTTAGCCCAGCAAATAAGTCAAAGAAATAGTTGAAATATAGACTGGAGAGTCAGGGACGACCCCTTCGCCCCTAAGAAAAGTGACATTTACTCCCAGATCAAAGAATGAATGCCAGGTGTTCATTGCCCTGTTTTGTTTTGTTTTGTTTTTGTTTATTGTTGTCTTTTGTTTTGGATTTTTTTGCCAGGGTGAAATTTCGGAAAAGAAGGACTTGTGGCCCTTGGGAGGACAGGTCACACAGTGGGTGCTCCTCACCAGCGACCTGTGGGGGTGGCAGCTGTGGGCCTGGCCCACGTGCTCACAGGGACAAGCTGCTGGCTCCTTCTGCACGGTGGATGCAGTGGAGAAAGCCAGGCACATTTCACAGGTTTCTTTATATTTTGAAGTATTGTGTGAATTTCCTTCATATGTTTGTACTATGCTTACCAACATGAAAACTAAGTCAAAATTAAAAACTGGGGAGGGAACTATCTTTATCTGACTCACAGGGCAAGTTGGTAACATGCAATCGACAATTTACAAAGTATCATGCCCTTTGCCTTAAAATAATTTTACTTTTAGAATTTTGTTGTGGATACATGGAAGTGTACCAAAAGATAGGAAGTCACACCTACCTGTGTGAAGTGACATGTTCATTACCTTGATTGTGGTAATCATTTCACCGTGTGTGTGTATATATACATATACACATACATATATACACACACACTTATATATAAAATCATCACACTGCACACCCTAAATAAATACAATATTTATTCATCAATTATACTTCAACAAAGCAGAAGAAAAGATATTGGTATATTCATTCAAGGACTGTTGCATGAGAGAAAATTGGATATAATACTGCTACTTACTCTAGGGGGCAGTTAGATCAGTTAAGGCCATTCACATGAGGCAACCCTCCACAGCCCTTAAAAACAATGTGTAGAAAACAGGTAATGACAACTCACTTGGGAAACAAAGCAGATAAAAGCAAAAAGTGAACTGATAAAATCAGTGGGTAAATGCCAGCTCCCTAGCAAACAGTAGTTTCTCCAAGTTACCTCGGCTATTACATACTTCAAAGGCGACGGCAAATGGCAGGGGCAAACCTGGTCCATTCTGGAAAATGTACTATTATGTACAGTCATTTTCCAAAATAAATTGTTTGATCTTGGATTAGGGTAGGGCTTTTATGGAAGAAACACACACACACACACACACACACACACACACACACACATGTCTGATGTTGGTCCCAATAGCAGAGGGATGCAGAAGTCACTTCTGAGTGGACGCCGGCATCGGGGCTCCTTTGTTCGTCGATGCCTGTCCAGGTCCAAGTTGTGCTGTGGGAGTTTGTCCTTGGCAGGCTTTGTGCGGCCACACTGCTTCCTCCAGCCCTCAGGGTGCCTGTCAAGACCTGGGGGCACAGCAGCCAACCTGCAAGTCTCTCAGAGAGAGGAAAGCCGACAGCATTCTGATGGCGGGGTGGGCGGCATTTAAAATTAAGGTCTGAGGGAATGTGATATTGTGGATCATAATTTTAGTATGTTAGAAAAAAAACTGTGCGGTAGTCAGAAATTTAGCTAGCACAGTGTGAAATATTTGTCACCTGCTCTGTTTGGCGCATCACAGTTTCGTGCTGTGGCACTGCATGGGCACTGCCTGTGTGTGCGAACTGGGGGGAGAGTGTCGTATAATGTTAGTAAAATACAGATCCTGCCCTCAGGGATCTTACCCATAATTTAAGGAGGACCAATTCTATATGTGGCAGCTTCTTCATGCATAGAGAAAAAGATCTCTAACTCAGCAGGGCATTGTGAAAGATGTAATTTTATGTAAAGCACCAGACTCTACATTTGCATGGCACTTAGTAAGCAATTAGTAAATGGTGCCATTATTTTATTATTCTTACTCTTATTAATATACAAAGAAACAACACACAGGGTTCCCTTGCACTGCCTTCCAACTCATGTGGCTTTGAGCTAAGCTGGCGTCTCGGCGGTCGGGTTTGGAAGGCTTGGCAGACCAGGCCCTTTCCCCATCGCTGTCGGAGCACAAGAACTGCCACAACCAAGGTCCACGCACGGGGTTGCTCAGCTAGTCAGAAATGCTTCCTCTCACTGCTCCAGAGGCTCCAAGTCCGAGATCAAGATGTCACTAGTGCCATGCTCCCTCTGAAGGCTCCAGCCAAGGGTCCTTCCTTGCCTCTTCCTACCTTCTGGTGGTTCCTTGGCTTGTACCAGCAGCGCTCCAGTTTCCCTCTGCCTGTGGCCGTCTCCCCTCTGTGTGCGTCTGTGCCCCTCTGTCTCCAGCCATTGGATTTAGACCCATCCCGAGCCAATGAGACTCCTTTCAACTTGACTATGCCAAAAAGACCCTATTTACATGTAAGTTCCCATGCACAGGAGCTCGGGGTTAGAACCGGAACTTCCATTTTTAGGGGGGCATAGTTTAACTCACTATATCTACCTTCTGGTAAGGACCCTACCACTTATTCAGGTCCTTGGATTTAGAAGAACCCACTCTGGCCCAGGCTGGAAAGGTGGACGTGTGACCCAAGACTGGCTACACCCTGGGCTGCAGTGATCGGTTTAGTGGCATTGATGTTCCAAACCAGGCAATGAGATTGAATGCTGGCATTTTTTAATTTGCACTCCTGCAAAGGAAACCTCTCTTGCTGCTGGCCAAGCAAAGTCACTGCACGGACAAGGCTGCCTGCAAGCGGAGAAACCTGCAGGGCTGCCCCGGGGCTCCTGGTCCTACTGTCCCTGAACTCAGATGCTCCTGACTGTTCCGATGACATAAGCCAATATATTCACCTCTTTTCTTTTTTGCTGACCGCATTGGGAGTATTTTTTCCTTTACTTGCAAACAAGAGTCCCAAATGATACACGGTATCCTCTCATTTACATATATTCTTCCTTCACTCCGCGATGTGTTGCCTGTCTGTGTGACCACGGACTAGAAAAGGCCTGTTTTCTGTTTCCCCGCCATTCACGGCCAAGCGTGGAGGCAAGCAGAGGTTATGGACATGTTGGTTGAGAGCATCAACAGAGAGGAACCAGACTGCCCCGGTCAGTTCCCGTCCCACCGATCACCACCTGGTGACCTTAGGCAAGTTACTCGGCCTCTCTGTGCCTCCCCTTCTCATCTGTAAAAGAGGAACAATAGTAGTCTTTATCTTACGGGATTGTTGTAAGGATTAAATGAGTTAATATTCATAAAATGCTTGGAACATTGCCTGACATTTTGTAACAGCTATTAGTTGGTTATCGTTACTGAGCAGAACGTATTCTTCCTTAATTCCCATAATGGCTCTATGAAATTAGCACTATTATCACCAATGCATAAATAAAGAAACTAAAGCTAATATTAGTGATGAGAAAGGGAATTATAGAGAAAAGTGTCCTAGAAATGGAGTGTCTCAAGTTATCAGATT